CTGGTGTGGCTCAGTTGGTGGGAACACCGGCCTGTGCTGGGAAGGTTGCGGGTTCCATTGCCCTTCCAGGTGCCAACGGGAGGCAACCAATCGATGTTTCTCTTTCCCATCCATGTTTCTCTCTCTTCCTTCCTATTTCTCAAAGCCCTGAACAATGTCCTGGGATGAAAATAAAAAAAATGAAAAGGTCTCAACTACTCGGAACAGAGGAATTACACAAGTGGTGTTTGGCATCATTGAAATAAAAGTATGATTTGGTATTCATTTGGAAAGTGTTATTAAATTTTGAGTTTAATTAAATTTGTATAATATATTTTCTTTCTCTTTATACTTTATGAGAGTCCCAACTCTGTTAATATTAAATATTCTCACTGAAATGTTTTACAATTATACAACTATAGTTCTGGTAATGTAGAAAAATAAATGATATGATATCTATGAACTATTGACATGAGGAGTATTAACACAAGAGTAAAAGAAAAAGTGACAAAGCTGAAAACACAAACAATATCAGTTTTCCTAAGTCATTAGAATATATTGAAAAACAAGAAATAAAATAATAAGAAGAAAACAACTGATATGATACAAAAAAAAAACCTGGCTATTGAAATTACAACACATTTCATCATGAGTCCATTGGAAGCCATATTAGCAGTAAGGATCCCTGGAATTTGTTGCCCATACAGATGTCTTCAGGCATTTTCCAAACATCAAGGGTCATTTAGTGAGCCCATGAGGCAAATCAATGTGGGAATTAGGAGCACATCGATACTTACGGAGTGAGGAGGTTGTGGTTAGACTGGATGGGAGACACACCAGGGGTGCCCCAGGAGCACTTCACATGCAAGAAGGAGATAGAACAACTCCCCCTGTAGGTCCTTGTTGGGAGATGCCCTGCCTGGTTTCAGGAGCTGTAACCCCTTCCATGGCTAAGGCTGAGTGCGGGACATTTGGACCATAAGCCACTAATGAGACAGAGCTTATCTCCCTGGCAGGAGCGCAGCTTCTGCTTTTCTTTTTTTTCATAACTGACCCCCAATGCTTGGTCAGTTATCCAATGATGGGTAAGATTCCCCAAGGGGGGAACGACCTAAGACAGGCATGATCATGTGGAAGCCCCAGGAAAAACTTGGGAGACTATGGAGAAAGGAAGTGGTTGACCCTTGCCTCTCAACTTTGACAAAGCCTGAGTCCTCATTCTGTCTGGGAGAAGTCTCCTAATCTCTTGGCTGCCTTGCTTCCTCTGCCTGACTTAAGCCTGAAACAATGACAGAGGGCAGTGCAGCCCTGTGCTGGATAGGACGGGCTCGCCGGGTGCTCAGGCCTGAGAAAGAATACACAAATTCCTGTGAAACATGCTTCCCTAAGAATGCTCTCAATTAAATGATAAAGGTCCCATCAGAAAATGAGTTTGTTTCCCAAAGTTTTGTAGTCCTTTAGCTAACAGACCTTGACTCAGAATAAGCCCTCATAGTTCTTTGTATATTATCTATTGTTTGATCCTTACTGCCTGACAATCAATAATGAACTTTACCTGTATTCCTGTACAAATTGAAAGCCAACAAAAACCGGTGAAGGCAAGGATCTGGGCTCTCTCAGAGAGTGGCCAGGCCTCTCTGAGGCACCCTTCCCTTGAGAGGGTAGGTGTGCAGTCCCTTTTCCACCACAGGACTCGGTAGTCTGTGTGAATTTGTCTTGTATCTCATCTGTAATGCCGTGGACACTGTGGGCCGGTGTCTGCGACAGGTCTTAGCAAGCTTTTATCTCTGACAGAACATGCTGGCTTCTTCACAGTCACTCTTCCCCAATTCTATAGCCAAGAGACCCCAGAGAGTTCACATATACCCTCGTCTCAGTCTGAATGTAACCAGGGAGACAAAGTGGGTTTTGTTGATATAGCATAGTTTCTCTTTGCTCACGAGCTGAATCGATTGTGCAACTATCAGCTGTGATCATAAATGACATTTCTTGTTAGGTTGGCATTCTTTGAATAGTAAGATGAGAAAATATGTTGAGGCTACATGCCCTCCATATCATGATACGATTATTTTTAAACAAAGTCTTAGACACTGTGGATGGCAAGGCCAGAAGCATCTGCCCAAGGGCCCTAGAAGGAGGGTTAGAAGGTGGCAGAAAGAATAGATGACAACCACCTGTGCCCAGATACGAGTAACAAAGGTCCCCTTCCCCTAATAATATGCCCCTGTCTCCTAAAGTGAAGGCTTGGTTCATTGACTGGAAAGAGTGAGTCTGGGCCATGCTGGAGGCGCCCCAGAGCTTGGGACTGAGACAGTCCCTGGACCGCTGTCTCCCATCCTGTGTCCAGACAGTGCTGTAGTCAAGGTTTTTCAAGGAAATTTTTTTTTGGTTTCAGATGGAGCTTCTGTCTTTGCCTGTGAATGAGGCCTGGACAATGAGCAGGTGAGGGGATGTGGGTAAAACATGAGGCTAGTGTGTGAGTCAGAGCTGAGTGCTCATGCGGTTTGGGGACCAGTTGCAGGATCGTCACACTTCAGTGGGGACACTGCCTGTCCAAATGTGTAAGAGCCAGTCCAGTATTCTCCTAGACTTCCTGTCCCAGTACTCTGAGCTCCCAGAACCAATCCATAGGCATCCTCTGCTGGTCTCAGATCTAACCCTCGAGCACATTTCGTACTGCTCCGCTGTCCTGGAAAGGCTTTCTGCCGTTTGCAGATGTTTTTTTCAGATGTCCATTTCCAAGGCAGTAGAAAGTGCAGGTCCTCTCTGTGATGTTGGCATTGAGCCATTAATTTATAGTGGTCACTAATGACTTGCAGACAGCTAAGTGACATGCTGTGCTCCCAGATATTTTGGGATATTTGACTTTCCATGGATTCTTCCCAGGGACATACCCACCTTGAAACATGTTAAAGGTCCCCAGACAATCCAGGCGGTCCACACATGGTGAGAATTCCACCCTGGCCCCCTTACAGGAGGACGCATTTGTTAGGTGTGGTTGCCATGTCTCAGGTTAGTTGCCAAAGTCCACCTTGCACAGGTCTTGGCTCTTCAGGTCTCTCTTTCCTTGACCTTTCACTACCCAGGGGCAGGTGTCCTGTGTTCCTGGATACAGGTGTGGGTGCTTCTGTGCCCTTCATTGTTATCCTGACAACATTGACTTTATTTGAATACTCTGAATTTTAGGTATATATTGTAGTCTATCTTTCAATTTCTTCAATATAAGAATTGACATAAATATAAATGGAGCTGTCACTGTTTTTAAGAAGTTCTTCTTTTATATCTGGTGTAAGAAACCCTCTCACCTGTTACCCAGTCTGCCTTGAGCCTGATCAAGTTTATTTGCTAAGAACTTGCATTGAATCAGCATTCACTTTATAGAGTGTAGATCCAAAAGAATTCATATTTAACCAATATTACCTGGAAAAGGAATAGAGAGGGGAGGGTGACATTTAAGTTAAAAACAGAGAAAGCTAACAAGGATGGGTCTAAAAGCCTGCCTTCATGAAGGGATCTCTGTGTAGCTGGAGATCAGGAGGTCCTCCAGGGTGGAATCTCGGGAACAAGAGAGCAACACAGCTTCCTCACAGTGTCAGAGTTCAGGGAAGAGCAGAACAGCCTGATCCAGGAACAGAGGACATGCCAGAAGTTGTTGGGAGGCCCCCAGTCTCCCAGGTCACACAGGCTGGACTTCTGCTTCCTTGTCACAGTCCTGGCAGCTCGAAGGGGTTCTGTGTATTTGGGGACCAAGTGATTCTGTCTGTGTTCGGTACTAGTAAGGAAGGAGACTTTTCACTGAGCATCAAGGATAGATGAAGGTGAGAATCTGAGGCCTCATGGTTTCATAGTACTCATGACACCAGAGGCCAAAACCTCAGCTGGTATATGACAGAGTCAGGGGTACAGCCTTGATGAGACAGGATGCAGAGTGGACAGCAGGCTTTACCTCACTTCTCTGTGGAACTGCAGCCCTTGGGTGACAGGACACTGTTCTGAGCTACATAACAGTGAGCCCATCAGGCTGGAGCCCAGAGCAGGTCCAAGAGGCCGTGTGCACACACCAGAAGGCAGACATGATGGACGAGCCCCTGAGGATCCATCACCTCTGCCCTAGTTCACAAGGTAGAGACTCTTCCTGGGAGCCCTGGGGACCATTCCAAGGTGATACCCAATGTGTCTGTTTTGCCTTGTACAGGAAAAGGAAGCCTCATATCTGGGCTTCTCAAGAGCTTGAAAGGGTAAGTGAAAAATGCAAATATGGAACCTTCTTACTCCTGATATTCCTTATCCCACCCTGAACTGTGGATCTGGGAAAGCTCCAGTGGCGTGTGAGAGGAGAGGAGACCCCAGTCAGTGCCAGTGGGCTCAGGGAAGCTGTTCAGGGATGCCACTCACAGGAGTCCCCATGCTCCTGAGTGGTGTCAGCCATAAGGACATTCATCCATGGATCCACGTCACCCAGTTTTCCATGGGTGGGCTCAGCATTTTTCCAGCAACTGTGGGTCACACCCCACTGATTCATGTTCCATAAAGAAGGGTTTAGCCCCAGCCTGGAATTTTCCTTTCAGAAACCCTCTTCCCATTGACTTCCCAACTAAAGGCTCAAGACCCAGCCAGGGGTCCAGGGCAGCCGTGACTTGCATCCTTGCACAGCGTCTCACAGCTTAGTCCCTCGTCCCTGGGACACTGTGTGCCGTGGGGGCTCTGAGCAGATGGGCCTGAAAGGGACATGCAGGTCCCTGCTCAGAGCCCTGGCCCTGCAGAGTGTGTTCTGTGGAGACTGTCACCTGCCGGGATATCCCCGGATCATAACAAAGACTAAACGCAGAAAAGGCTCCATTGTGTCATTTCATGGGACCAAGGGCAGCTCCACAGGCCCCGGTTCCCACAGTGAACACCAGGCAGCTCTGCAGTGTCACCGTGACCACTGTGTGTTCAGTTGGGCCTCTGGGTCCCTGACACTCTAGACAAGGGATGGGAAACTGGAAGTAGACCCATTAGAAACCAGAAGGTCCCCCGAGTACAGTTTACATACACACAATTACTAAAAAATGTTCCAGTGTCTTGAAAGAAAACTGTGTTAGGCTGAGGTTTTTGTCTCATTTCCCCATCTGTGTGTGTCACTGTGAGGAGTACCACTGTACCAACTCATACAGTGATAGTCGGCCTCGTCCTCAGGCTGCAGCCCAGAGATGGTCAGGAGCCCTGCATTGGCTGAGGTGTCCTTGGATCCAGAGAAGCGGCTGGGGACCCCGGAGCCCTGATGCTTTTTTGAGTCTGAGTAGTAATACAGCAGATACCTGGGAGGGTTCCCTGGCTTCTGCTGGAACCAGTGTATGTAGTAGCTGCCAACACTGGAGCCACTGCTGAGGGTGCAGGTGAGTCTGGCTGTGGCTCCCGGAGATGCAGAGAGGGAGGACGGCTGAGTCACCACAGGCTGGGAGAGGGAACCTGCAGACACACAGACACTTAAGGGTGATGCGACAGACACCAGGGTAAAGTTTATCAAGATTCTGAGCAAGAGGGGTGTAATATTGGGGGATCCCCAGCTATCCCAGGTCCATCCCTACCTGTGCAGTGAGAGAGGAGCACGAGGAGGAGAGGGGTCCAGGCCATGGTGCACACAGCCCCTGAGCCCACAGTGGGGTTGGGCTGCCCAGGCCTCCTTTTCTACCCACGCTCTGCCAGAGGAGGGGAGGTCCATGCAAATGTGTGTCCATTCAGAGGCTGCCCTGCCCCTTTTGACCCCTGGAGCTGGAGCTCAGCTCACACCCCAGACAAAGGGGGATGGAGTTTGGTTTCACCCCTTGGGAGAACCCTGGGGGGAAGCACCTACTCAGACCACTCAAAGGTCCTTGCTCAGGGGACTCTACAAGGTCAGAGGGAGAACAGCTGCTGAGTCCCCAGTCAGAAGCACAAGACACACCCTTAGACCCAAGCTCCATTGAGTGAAGGCTCCTCAGTGAGCAGCTATGAGGGTAACTCAGGACAGTCCTACAGCGCCTCCTGCTGGTCACACACGTCCCCATGGCCCAATGTCCTGGGACCCCAGCTGGTTCCTGCATCTCAGAGGGTTGGTCTTTCTAGTCACACACCCATGGTCAGATTTCTAAGAATGGACCTAACGTATGATGCAGATCATCCACTTCTGGGTATTGATCTGAAGCAAAGGAAAACACTACATCAGAAGGATACATGCACCCCCATGTCCATGTCAGTATGATTTGTAACAGTCAAGTCATGGAAACAACCTAAATGTTCGTCAATGAAAGAACATATATGAATATTATTCATTCTAATAATAGACAGACCTTCAGGATGATAAGCTAAGTGAAGTAAGTCTGACAGAGGGTGACAAATAGCAAACAAATATCACACTTATAGGTGGAATTTAAACAAAACTGAAAACCCTGAAAAACAATGAATCCACAACCAAAATGAACCAAACCAAAACAAACCATCCAACAAACAAACGAAAAGCTCACAGACACAGACAATGGACTGGTGTTAGCCAGAGGCTGGGAGTGGGAGGTGGGAGAAATGGGTGCAGGAGGCCAAAGGGCATGGACTCCCAGCTGGAAAAGGAAAGACCGTGAGCAATGGGGACCTGACCGTTTGTGTCCTTGGGTCCATCCTCCTTCTAAATCCCCTGCAGTGAGTGACTGTCACTAGGTGCCCAGGAAGGGAACTGCTGTGTCTCATCTGTTCATCACAAAGGTTTTTCAAATCTCATGGATAGCTTCTGCATGTGTATAACAAGTAAGTTCGGGGAAGGAGGAAATCCAACCTATGCATCAAACTGTCTAATGATATTGAATTCACTGTTTCCCAATAAGAATGTCTATTCCATGCTTGGGCAACTAATTCTTTTTTCTGAATTATAGAAATTCTCAGGGCATTGAAAACATCAATCAAGTTTTTAAAATACATTTTTGAAGCACATGTATTACATTGAAAATCCCTGTGATTACCCTGTGAATTATGGAGACAGTTTTCTTTCTTATGACTTGAATTCCCAAACCTAGAAAATAGGTGACAACCCATGACAGTCCATTTCACGGCTCAGGGACACGGCACGTGTGGCTCAGAGAGACAGTGATTTTGGCACACAGTCACTAAGTATGGAGATTTATTAATAGATTCAAGTAAAGTATTACTAACCTTATACATCTAAAGAGCACACCGGAAATAACTACCTTACTATCAAAATCTGTGAAGAACTTAAAAATGTGGTGCAATAAACCACCTCATACTTTGAAACTGCGTCCCTGTGGCCAAACCCACACACTGTCCCATGCGCCCGCACAGCCGACATACGATGGGCGAGGCCCTTCTGAATCCTCTCTGTTTCCAGGCCATGCTGTCTCTGCTTTATACATGCAGTCTGTTTCTACTAGGTGACTGAGATATCTAAATAACAAAACATAACTTCAAGGCCCTTCTAGTTTCCAGGCAGGAATGTTACTACGTGACAAATGTCTGCTGGTTTTGAGTAGAATTGGTGGCATGCATGAGAGAAGGACACAGGACTTAAGAATACAAACAGAGACGTGTCACTGTGTGCAGGCGTCAGCAAAGGAAATGGAGAATCGGCCTCAGGCGCGACCAGGGCGGCCGTCACTGCACGTGTGCAGTCTGCGGGAAGTTCCCTCCCAAACAGCTCGCCAGAGGGCACAGGCCAAGAAGCGCTCAGATGTGGATTTATTTCTTGAAAAAGCAGGTGCTGTTTCTCTCTCAAACCAGGGGGAAGGAAGAAGGGTTTTAATAAGCAGCACCAGGGATGGAGGAGGAGGGTATTTTTGAAATTATATGGAATCTTAACTGTCACAGTGAAGATGAAAAATACACAAAAAGGTGTTTATTATGTTTTCTTTTACTGTAGATACGTTAGGTGCTAACATAAACCAGTGTCACCGTGACCACTTTGTATTGAGTTTGGCCTCCGTGTCCCTGAGACTGTAGACGTGGAATGGGAAACTGGGATTAGACGCATTGTAAACCAGAAGGTACCTTAGAGTATATTTACATACACAAAATTATGTTCATACATGCAAAAATTCAACTGTCTTCAAAGAAAACTCTGCTAGGTTGAGGTTTTTGTCCCACTTCCCCCTCTGTGTGTGTCACTGTGAGAAGCATTATTGTACCCGATCATACAGTAATAGACGGCCTCGTCCTCAGGCTGCAGCCCAGAGATGGTCAGGAGCCCTGCATTGGCCGAGGCATCTTTGGATCCTGAGAAGCGGCTGGGGACCCCAGAGCCCTGGTGCTTCTCTGAGTCTGATTTATACCACAGGAGATACCGGGGAGGGCTCCCTGCGTTCTGCTGGTACCAGTTTACGTAGCTGCCACCAACACTGATGCCACTGCTGAGGGTGCAGGTGATTCTGGCTGTGGCTCCCAGAGATGCTGAGAGGGAAGGCGGCTGAGTCAGCACAAGCTGGGAGAGGGAACCTGGAAACACAGACATTCACGGGTGCTGGGGCAGGGATAACATTTAAGCTACAGAAGGATCTAGGTCACAGAGGTGACAGAGGATTGGTGGGTGACCCTGGGAATTTGAAGTCTTGCTGTACCTGTGCAGTGGGAGACAAGCACAAACAGGAGAAGGGTCCAGGCCATGGTGCAGGCAGCTTCCTGTGTCCCCAGATGAGGTCTGAGGTGGGCCAGGCCTCTTTTATGTCCCCCATTGGCTGGGAAGAGGAGGAGCTGTTCACTCTTATTTGTTTCCCCCAATGATGATGAACCTTTTCTACCCTGAGAACCAGCCAAGTGAGAGCCTAGCTGATTGGACAGGGAGCTGGTGGGTGAGACTGGGTTTGTCCCCTGGGAGGGTCCAGGACAGGAGCAGGTGCAGGGACCTTACACAGACCAGTGAGCAGGAGGCTCTGCCCAGCCCAGTCACAGGGTCCCCATCAGTAACCACAGGCCCCAAGTCCCCAGCCCTGGGCTGTTTGGGAGTTCACTCAGTGGGAGGCACCCACTGTCTGACCCTGGGTCCCCACAGCACCCCTGCTGCTCAGTGATCACAATTCATCTGTGGATGCAAATGATGTTGGGGACACTGCCCTGAGACTGGTCACTCTGAGCTCACAAACATCCCCGGGAACACCATTTGTTATACTCTCAGTCTCTGATATAAATAAACTACATTTTCCAGTGTAGAGTTTTGTTGTATAAGGAGACAGAGAAGTGGAAATCATGACGAATGTAACATGTGGCCGAAGCTGTGGGAGAGGAGATTACAGATGCAGGTGCGGAGGGGTCTCTTTTACTCACCTTCAACTCTCGTGCAGGGAGACCAGAGAGTTCCCTGCTGTCCTCAGGGTTCTGCGAGGGGATGCATGTTGGACAGATGATGAGGGAGCAGGGAGTAGAGGCATCATGAGAGCTGAGGGACATGGGCGTGGCACAGACTCATGGCTTTAGGTGAAGATGTAGAGAAATCACCACAGTGAAATAAACTGGGGAAGACAGAGATGCAACGCATGACCCAGGAAAAGTGGACTGTCAGGAAAATGGCTCACAGTTCAGAAATGGAGACTGTAGCTGGGCAAGAGCTTCATGACCCAAGAAGATGTGTTGTGGTTGGTCAGGTCACTGAGCTGGCTGACTGGCTGAGTCTCTGGGAAAAGAAGGTGGGGTGGAGCCATGTGTCAGAAGGGAGAGAAGGGGAGAGAGGATGAGAAGGTGGGCAGAGGGAGAACCGAGTCTCCTTTAGGAAATACCAACTTAGGCAAGTCTAAGCTCACGTCCAAAATCTCGACATCCTCCTTTTGGAGTTTTTCTGTAAGTGGAATCATGTTAATGTGTAGATTTTGGCCACTGGAGAAGACAAATGCAAAACTGTTAGTTTTATTACCCTTTAAAACAGGAATTATTTTATCTCCAACACAGACACACAATTTGCATTATTGGCCATATAATGGTGCAATAAAAATACTACCTCTTAAAATTATTTTTAAAAATATTTTTTAAAATATTTGTTCATACTCTTACTGGTCCTCTCAGTAAAATATGAGTTACATGTAATTTTAAAAACATGTTCATGCTCCATTTGTATGAGAGTCATGGGAGAAACTCTCTCAAGATTATTTTTTGACAGGCTGAGATGGTCGCTAAGATAGTGTGTTGGGAACCGCCCTGACTGGTATCAGAAGCTGAAACCCCCGTCTAGGCTAAGGCTAAGGGAACGCCCTTGGAACCGTAAGCCAGCAAGGAGACAAAAGCTTATCTTCCTGGCAGGAATGCTGCTTCTGCTGCTTTATTCATGACTGAACCCCAAAAAGCTTGGCTAGTTAGCCAAAGAGGGGTAAGATTCCCCACGGGGGGAATGACCTAAGACAGGCACGATCACTTTGGGAGGCCCCCCCAAAAGAAGGACTTGGGGGGCTGCAGCAAAAGGGGGTGATGGACCCTCGCTCCTCGGCTTTGACATAGCCTAAGTTCTCAGTGTCTGGGAGAAAACCTCCTTGTCTCCCAGTTGCCTTAGTTCCCTTGCTCCACCTAAGCCTGAAACAATGACAGGGTGGTGCAGCTCTGTACTGAGAAGTGCGGATTCCCCGGGGTGATCAGGCCTAAGAAAAAACATGTAAATTACTGTGAAACCTTCTTTGTTTAGAGTGCTCTCAGTTGAATGAGAAGGGTCTTAGGGGGAAGTTATTTTGTTCCTCAGTCTTACAGCTCTTTGACCCCGACTCAATAGACCAGCAGAGTTCTTTGTTTTCTATGGTTCCTTACTTCCCCCTAATGAGTACTGTACTTTACCTGAATTATTATGCAGAATGAGCCCAATAAAAGCAGGTAGGGACTGTAAATCGGCATGCTCCCCACTAGGGGGGGTGGCCATTTCATCCCTACTTCCCCACAGAAACTAGTCTGTCTTTGTGCATGTCGTTTTTTCTCGCGTGTTTATCGTCGAGCCATCCACAGCATTCCATGGTCACTGCTGGCCGGTGACCCACGAGCAACAATAGTGAAGAGGATTTTCATACATAATCTGTTTATACTGTGGTGACTGAGTTCTGACTAACAGCTCAGTAAAGTACTTTTTCTAGATCCTTGAGTATTTACCATAAACATCTAAAATTCTTCTTTGCTGAACCTGTATTTCCCCAGAAATACACATGGCACACACAATGTTTTTGTGGCTACAGGCTGGAGATGATTCTCATTGGCTGATTGGTGGAGGAAGATGAGAACATGAGGGAGAGTCTAGACCTTGGGACAACAACTGACCTGAGGCCTGAGGAAAGAACATGACAGGATAGATACAGACCGATGGATCCAGAAGGACAGGGACATAGAGAGCCAAGATGGGGGAAAGCAGCAGAGTCCAACTATGGCTCTCACAGTGGCTTTCAGTCCTGGAGGGCAGAGTCACAGTGGAATCAGAGTCAGGCTGAGTTCAATGTCACTCTCTGTGACTGGGACCCTGACAGGCAGACATTATCTGTAGTGGGGCAGAATTTTCCGAGGGAGAAGCTGCTTTGTGCTGGGAACAGGAGGAGCCCCCATATGGAGTGTGTAGATGGAAGATCGGTTTGGGTGCTGGCCTCTGTCTGGCCCTGTCCTACAGAGGGACAGGCGTCAGAGAGGTGCCCAGGCACAGTGTGCAAGTGACTGTCTGTGAGGGTTCTTAAAATTCCCTTACTATCTTACTGCCTCTGGGAAGAGAAGGCAATCTCGGTCTGTCATCACAATACCTGCATGTCAGTCACACACATCACGGGTGGGCGTGTGGGCCCGGAGTGGCCTTTTATAAGAGTTCTGCATGGTCAGGGAGCTGAGCTGCAGGTTATGAGATGAGAACAGCTGGCCTGTGTTCCTACACAGACCAATCATGGTGTCCTGGTGTGGACCAACCATGAGGGTCCTTGGAAGGGTGAGGAACATGGTGGGGGCATATTTAGTAAATTTTTCACCATTTTCTTATCCCATTTGGACGCCAAATGCCATTGGTCACTACAAGTAGGAATACAAGTTAAAACTGCAGTAAGAATCGTGACCAATGTGGCTCTGTTGGTTGGGCATTGTTCTGCAAAGCAAGAAGGTGGCTGCTGTGATTCCCAGTCAGGGCACATGACTGGGTTGCAGGTTTGATTCCTGGATGGGACAGACACGAGGGCGATCCATCACTGCTGCTCTTTAAAACTGCAGTGAGGTGTCACTCATCAGGACTAGAAGGGCGGTGATAAAGGAGACAGTTGAGCAGTTGTTGGGGAGATGTGGACAAATCAGGCCCTGACGCCTTGTTGGTAGAAAAGCCAACCATGGAGCTGTACTGACTGACATCTAACAGCCTCTCACAATCATAACAGAAGGTTGTCATGTGTCTCGACTACTCCACTTCGAAGTGTCTTTCCAAGACAAACAAAAGCATATCCACTTAAAACAAAACAATTCGTAACGTGTACACAGATGTTCCCAGCAGCTCTGTGCACAGCAGCCAAAGATAAAACAACCCCATGCCTATCAGCAGGTGATGGGCAACAAACACCAAGTTGCTCAGACATTGCTATAATATTTGACCAAAAAAAGGGTACTGATCCATGCTCAGCATCCATGGGACCTCAAGGACATTGTTCACAAGAATTTTAAAGGACACAAGATAGCCACCAAGGACCATCTATTTCCTGCTTCCATCTGTATGAGTGTCCGGGAGAGGGAACGGACATATAAACGCAGAAAGTGGGTCGGCAGTGGCTTGGCACCCACACAGGAGTGATGAGGGGTGATTACTGATGTTAGGGACTTTCTCTGAGGGATAATAAAAATGTTCTAAAATTAGAATATGGGATGGTCATACCACTCTGTAAATATGCCAAATGACGTTGTCTTGTACAAATGAACCAGTGAAACTTACAGTATGAAAGTTATGTTTTAACAAAGCTATGATAAACAGTATGAGAAGAATCAGCTGCCACTAACTCTTTAGGTGGGTTTTTGCTCACAAAATCAGACCCTCGGAGTCAGACCTTCTAGGCAGGGATGTTCAGCCCTGTCCTGTGGGCTGCATGTGGCCAGGATGGCTATCAATGCTGCCCAACACAAATTTGTAAATTTACTTAAAAAGTAAATTTTTTATGATTTTTTTTTTGTAATTAGGTGTCTCAATGTATTTAATGTTAAGCCTAAGATAACTCTACTTCTCCAGTGCTGCCAAAAGATTCCAAAATGTGGGACACCCCTGCCTAGGGTCTGCCACACCACCCTCTTTATGGGTCACAGGCACCCAGGGGGTGATCATGGGGACAGGGCAGGTTTTTGTCTCAGTTCCCCATGGGGCTGGAGCACTGTGTGATTCCTACTTAAGTCAAATGATGAACAGTAATAATCAGCCTCGTCCTCAGGCTGCATGCCCGTGATGGTCAGAGAGGCCGTGTTGCTGGAGTGGGAGCCAGAGAACCGATCTGGGATCCCTGAGGGCCGAGTACTTCCGAGCATCACAGCTTTGGGGGCAGCACCAGGAACCTGTTGGTGCCAGCCTGCACCAAACATTCCAACATTGTTGCTGGTTCCAGTGCACGTGAGGGTGACCTTCTGTCCCACAGATCCTGACACCGAGGCTTGCTGTGTCAGCCCAGACTGTGCCCAGGACCCTGGAACAGAAAAGTAGAGACACATAGAGACATGAGATGAGGCTATTTCTCACAGCGTGTTCTCAGTCAGAGAGAAAAAAGGTGACCCAGGTATGTCCCATAGTCACTACTCCAGCTTCCCTCAGTGAGTCACCTGAGCAGTGAGCAAGGAGGGCGAGGAGGACAGGGGTCCAGGCCATGGTGGAGGTGCCCACACTCTGCTTCTGAGCCCATGAGGGAGAGAAAGGCACAAAGTCTCTCTTATGTTGTCCCCTCCTGGGAGGGCAGAGAGGACCCTTCATGCAAATTGTTTCCTCCTCCTGGGTCCCTGGGGATAAAGCTGGTGAAAGCTGGGTGGGGGTGGGGCATCTGGAGCCTCTCTTAGGGTGGGGCCTGGGAGATCACAGCTGCTGGTCCCCAGTGAGCACAGAGCATAGGGAACTGGGCCCAGGCCCTGGTTTCCCAGCTGAGATCTCCCACAGACCTTCAGGGGTAGGCCCACAGCGCCCCCTGCTGTTTCAGAGTCCACACTCACTTAGGACTTGGATAGAGAGGTGGGAGCTTGCTTGGATGACAGAGAGTGAGGCTTGGACTTGAGTCCTGCCTGGCACATCACCCACCCACACAGGATAGGGGCTCCTAGACCCCCAGGCCTCCTCACTATGTCGCAGGTGTCCCCACACCTGACTCCTTACTCTAAAGAGGTGACCTCCTCTGCATGAGGACTTCCTCCTATTCTTCCTATTGTTTAGATAACTATGATGTTGGCACCATACAGGTGCCTGAGCCCTCAGAGTGAATGGGTCCTCCCCTCAGGGAACCTATGAGCCAAGGGCATGAAGACCCCTGCACACCCTCTATTGCAGGGTGGCTGGTTCCTACCTCTCTCTTCACTCTTTACTTCCCACCATGGTGTCCCAATACCATAAACCACATCAATTGTCCTGTTGTCACCTGGAATGGGGCCAGGGTCCATTGATAACCAGTCATAGGGGACATCTTCAGAAAGAGGCCAGAATCATTCAGAACTGAGATCTGCTTTCTTACTGCTCCCCCGAGACAGCATCCACATGACACGGTCACAGCACTTCTGTCCCAGGACACAGCCACGTCCCCACAGCCCCTCAGGGGTCCAGCAGGGTAAATGGGTCTCTGTCACCACATGCGGACTGCATTGAGATGGGGTTGGAGCTTTGGGGATGTGCAGAAGCATTGAAGTTGCTACAAGAGTGTCCAGTATGATGACACTGATGTCCCCGGGGTTCCTGTGTGAGCCTCCCTCACTGTCCACAATGCCTATTCGTTCACTCAACACACCTTCTCCAGACCCTACTGCGTGAGAGATTTGCATTCCACTCATGAACAGAATATCAGCACAGTTGCTTCCCCAGTGTCTTTACCTAATCAATGTCTGTGATAATAATGCTGTTAATATGAATGGTATATATTTCAATATGAAAACATGTATAAATTTTTTAATCCAGTCACGTCCACTCTCACTTACTAACTTCACAGGTGCATATTGTACTCCTTTGAAGCCTCAATGCTTCCCTCTGAATAAGTCACAGAAACCCCCCCCCTCCCCGCATCGCACAGGGACCACACGGAAACCAAAGGGTGCCCGTGGCCCTCACAGGCTGTTGCTGGCTTATTGTAGAATCAGTTGTCTGGAGCATGGTGATGTTTATTTGTGGTTCTGTAATTTATATTAATTCCCCAAAAAGAAAGTCAGTGAATAAAAAAGAAAACAAAACACAGATATTCACTGTCCTTAACCCATGGTCCACACATGTTTGCCCCTCTTGCATACGACCATGCTCATCCAACCACATCCCAACCAGGAATATGGACCCATTCTAGACCCATCTGCACCCCCACACTGACCTTCCAAGAAGGCCCTAGGCCTGCATTTCCCCAAGGAAACCATCTGGAATCTTCTCTACTGTCTTCATCTCCACTACACTCACCCAGATGTGGCCACTATCTTCCCCTCCGGGATGGTACAGACTGACCCTACCCTGTCTCCCTGCCCTGCTCACTGTGTTCTCACTTCAGCTGGACATGGAGTGAGCAGACACCAATGTGTGCACGTCACTCCCCACTGATGGTCCCTCTGTGACTATGCTTTTCCTTCTCAGCAGCAGTCATCCCAGCAGTCTGGCCTCTCCTGCCTCTTCAGCTCTCCTGCCGCTTCCGAAGGAGCTCCTCCTGGTGCCCCTGCTCACTCCAGTCACCCAATGCATGGCCCAAAGCAACTTTCCCCTTGTATTTGGGTGACTGATACCTCCCTCTTTGTGTTTTTACCTGTTATTAGAACATTGTGCCCCCTCACCCTTAGCTCCATCTCACTCCTTATTCTGAAAATCCCAGATTGGACACCAGTCCTATCCATTGAGTCTTTTAGATCCAATGCCCCACCCACCTTGAACCCCTGGTCTCTGACGAGGTCATGCTCTTTGTGCAGTGAAGACTATTCGGAGGTTTCTCTCTGTGGTTAGCTTTCCCTTTGGACAAACAATGCCAAGCTCGGGGGCTGTGACAATTGTCTGGTCAGTGTCTGTCAGACAGTGTCACACAATCACACTCATACACACTCGCTGGACCACACCATCTTCCCGGAGACACCCTGTGGCACTGTGGATGGCCAAGTGATGGATCTCACCTTCTGTTCCCCGGATCTTTTGCTACTGAAAATGTGTTGTCATTCTGCCTGTTTGGCATTGTCATTGTCTTTATTATGTTGGTATACATTTTAGTTTGTTTAATGTTTGAGGGTCATCATGACCATTTTATATGCAATGGGAAGGGACTATAGTGTGGCCTCATTTAAACCAGGGGCCTAGGTCTACTCTTATTATCAGTAAGTCTTCTACTGCCTCCTGCATGTGTCAGAACCTGGACCGAATGAGGCCCTAGTTTTTGTCACACTCCCTCATGTGTCTCTGTCACTGTGCCAGCCGCTGCTTTCATATACCTGACAGTAATAGTCGGCCTCGTCCTCAGGCTGCAGCCCAGAGATAACCAAATGTGCAGTGTTGGTTGAGGTGTCTTTGGATCCAGAGTCTCGACTGGGGACCCCAGGTCCTAGCTTCTTGTCTGAGTTTGAGTAGTAGTACAGGAAAAACCGGGGAGGGCTCCCTGGCTTCTGCTGGTACCAGTACATATTTTCACTACAAACACTGAGGTCTCTGCTGAGGGTGCAGGTGAGTCTGGCTGTGGCTCCAGGAGATGCAGACACAGAGGGCGGCTGAGTCAGCACAGGCTGGGAGAGGGAACCTGCAGACACACAGGCACATGGAGTGAACAGAAGGTCAGGGTGCAGGTGCTGTGGGTCTCTGGGGCCTGTCCCTACCTGTGCAGTGACAGAGCAGCATGAGGAGGACGGGGTCCCAGGCCATGGTGAGCAGGCTGCTCCTCAGTCCACACAGCTGGGGCTGGGCTGCCCAGGCCTCTCTTATCCCCTCCCACCTGGCTCCATGGAGGAGGGGCTGCTCATGGGAATGAGCCACCCTCCTTTGCATTTTTCGCAGGTTCACCCAAAGGTCTGGAGCCCTAGCTGGAAGAGGCCAGGCTGACAGGCTAGTTCCCCCCTGGATAACGCTGGGAGCAAGCAGTTCTGGAACTACACGGAGAGCCACGTGCAGGAAGCTGATCCGGGTCCAGAAAGGAAATACCCACCCTGTCCCCACAGGAATCAAAGTGTCCAGCGCTGAATGATCCTGGAGAACTGCCTAGACAGGAGCTCCTGTTTTACAGAGACTATCTCATGGCGCCCTCTGTTGGTCCCCAGGCAAACCGTTCTTCTTTCAAGCTGATCCAAAGTCTAGTTTTCACCTGCCTGCTTGGCTCCTGGGTTTTCAACACTTAGGAGTCATTGGTAGAGGGGACAAGAGCCATCCTTACAGGGGATGATGCAGGCACAGTCCTGGTGTGACCCTCCTGTATCCGGCACACATGACTCCTGACCCAACAGAGCCTGAGGACTGCTGGGGAGTGGGGTCACATGAGGGAACAGAGAGCAGAGTGAATATGGGCCAGGGGCCAGGGCACAGCCCGGATGACTGAAGCAGGAGGACCCTGGCCCCTACAACAAAGGAGGGTAGAGGTGGCTAGAGACACACAACCCAAATTCTGGGTCCTCTGCCCAGTTTGTAGCTCACTGTCAGGAGGAGACTGGGGTGGTTTTGATCTCTGAGTCTGTCCCTTGAGAGGAAGCACCTGCTGTCACCTCTAGCTGCCAGTGAGCATGGGTCAGGACCCATCAGTTAGAATCCTTGAGGTTTTTTCAGACCTTGCTGCTCTGAGAAGATCCCCAGCGCCCCCTGGTGACCTTCAAAGAGAATGTTAATAGTACAAATTCAGTAGAACACAGGGCTAGTGGGACAGGGTTGGGTTTTCTTGAAATCTCTTTCCCTCTTCCTTCCTTCCTCAAAACCTGTTAACCCAGGTTCTGAGGACCAATTCAACACTGACAAGGACCCCCAGTTTGGGTGTGGTAAAGCGGAAAACTTGACTCAGTACCAACAACAGCAATACAGCATGGCTATGGACACAGCTCTGCTGTGGGGCAGCCCAACTGTGATGCGGCAGAGCTGTGGGAACAGTGGGGTGCAGAACAGCTCTGGGAACAGGCAGCCCTGTGCCGGGCCACTCTGACTAGATAGCTCTGCTTGTTTCCTCTATGTGCCCTGGTTTGTGCCGCCCTGGTTTAGACCACTCTGCACTGGTCGGCTTTACTCTGCTGCGGGGAGACCACTTCAGTGTTTCAGCTCAGCCATGCTGACAGTCTTCATTCATCAGTGGCAAGTGCACTCTCTGAGCACCAGGGAATCCAGCTCATCTGATCAGGAGCCTCTGATTCCTGGTTCCTGACTGGTTTGTCTTCATGCAAATGAGGGTGCCAAACTCTTGCAGCTTTATTGGCCCAAAAGTCACTGTCCTGACTGGTCTGAATAGACCTGCTGTGATTGGGTGTGGAAAGCCACATTCCTATTGACTGACACAGAATTCCAAGAAACCTCCCTAAGGGCTGGCTCAGATGGCAGAAACACAGGGCAGGCAGGCACATTAGCCCAGAAGCAGGCAGTTCAGTAAAGAGGTCGTTTGTTTGATAGGTCCCTGTGCAGAAGGGCTGCACATTTTTCTGTGTTCACAGCTAATCCAGAAATCTAACTGTGCAGTAATCGTTACAGGAAGCAAGCACACAGAAAACTATATTATATACATTCCTAACATTGTGAATGTAATGTTTTCTTTCCTATATTTATTTTGTATTGATTCAACCTGAAATTGTGTTAATCAGATATTTAGGCAGCTGAGACAAATAAGGTAAATCATGATATCACATGTTTCCCCCTTCACAGCCTAGTGCCAGAAGCCTGAAGGGAAGTCATGTGGTGATATATCTGTGGCTTGTTAGAACGGCAATTCTTGAACCCACAAGTTTCTATCTCTGTGGGTCTAGTCTGGGAATTGCATTTCATGCCATCCCAAAGGTGAGGCTTCCACTTGAGTGGGAAAAGACATATGTATGTGGTTTGAGCATCAAATCAATGAGAGAAAACCTGTTGTTGTGCTTTAAACAGAAGAGTCTTCCAGGGAGTAGAGGGATCTGGGACTCACTGATGGTTAATATATTTTAGGGTCCAGGTCCTCCCCAGCATCACCCTAGAAAGCAGGGGAGACAGAAAACCCAGTCTTCACAGGGTCACACGGGGAGATGGACACACCCTGGGAGACAGGAACAGGTGCATGGAGATGAGGCACTGGATAGAAACCAGGGCCAGGGAGCCAGTCCCCGTACCGTGCAGACCATTTCCACACTCTCTCCTTTCTTCTGCCTCTAATGGTTCAGCCCTTCTGAATTATGTGCAGGTGTTGGGTGCACTCCCCCATGGATTGAATCACTGTGCAATCATCAATATTACTATCCACATACACTGCTCAGTAATAGTTGGCCTCATCCTCAGGCTGGGTCCTCATGATGGTGAAGGGGGCTTTGTTGCCAGAGAGGGATCCAGAGAAGGAATCAGGGACCCCAGAGGGCTGGGTGTTTGTGCTGTAGATGAGTGTGTGGGGAGCATTGCCTGGGGTCTGCAGGAACCAGCTGGGGACTTTAAACCTAGAGAAATACCCAGAACTAAAGCCACAGGTGAGTGTCCCTGTCCCTCCTGAAGACACAGACACTGAAGGATCCAAGGTCACCACAGTCTGAGATCCACACCAAAACCAACGGCAGAAAGACAGATATTGTTAAGGGAGAAAAGGGTCACTCTGAGATGGTGCTTGCATTTGCTCCCAACCCCAAAAATGCAGAGTCCCTTCCTCTGACCTGAGCTGTAAGCCAGAAGACTGAGCAGGAGCACCGTCCAGGCCATGGTGGGGACACTCACAGAACACGGCCTCCTCAGGCTCCTGGGCTGGAGGTGGTGTCCTTGGGGCCTTTTCATGCCTCCCAGGCTCATTAGGAGAAAGAAGTGCTTCATGCAAATCAGCTGCCCCTCTTTTGTCCTGCCCCAGTCTCACCCTGATGTCCCCTGGGGGTCATCTTGAAAGAGGCAGATGCTGGGACCTCTCACAGACCAATGACTGCTCAGTAACTGAGATGCCCTATTTGATGGGCAGCTGACGTCTTCCTCCCAATCAGCTTCCTCATGGCTCTAGTGACCTTATTCCTGAGAGTCTTACCTGCAGTGGCTGAGGCTGAATGGTGAGATGTGTGTGTTTACCTTTCAGCCCCAGCGATCTAGTTCATTTCAAATCTAACCCCAATCCTGAGAACACTTTCTTCCTTTCTCAGTGAAAAGTCTTTCTCAGTGAAAAGTCTTTCTGTCTTCCTTGGAAAGGCTTAGCAGTTACTCCTTTCTCCTGAGCGAGTTCCAGGATCATCACAGTGCCTGAGTCTAGGGTTCAGAAGCAGTTTCTACCTCTGACAACATCTTGTAACCTTCTCCAGTAGCAGTGGGGGATCGGCCTTGGGCTGTGCACTCACAGGGCTGCACCCCCAGCCTGGGGAGGGCAGACCACCTGTGCCCTGGGGAGCTATGACTCTACAAGGTCTCTTCAGTGTAACTGTGAGTTTTGAGGAGCAAAAGTCAGAGGGTCACCATGAAATTATGAGACACCTGGCAACGTCATATGTAACAAAATAAGAAGACACTTGTCTCATGATCAGAAATATAAAAAGCCCAACACTCTGTTGGAACAAGATGGGGTTAACATCATAGAACATTTTAAGGCCTACTTTTTCCACTTGCTGCTGTGGAGCAGAAGAAATGGACACAGTGGACAAGGGGTTTCTGATGGAAGGAAAATGATCAGGAAGGTTAAGTGTCTGAGGTGACAGGTCCTGGCTGGTGTCGCTCAGTTGGAGGGACCGTCGTCCTGTCATGGAAAGGCTGGGGGTTCCATCCCCCTTCCAGGTGCCAACGGGAGGCGACCATTCGATGTTTCTCCCTCTTCTTTCCTCTTTCTTAAAGCCCTGAACAATGTCCTGGAGTGAAGATAAAAACATAATTAAAATCTCTCAAGTACTTGGAAATGAGGAATTACACAACTGGTGTTTAGGATACTTGAAATAAAAATATAACTAGCTATTCATTTAGGAATTGTCATTAAGTTTTGTGTTTAATTAAATGTGTATGACTTTTTTCCCTTTGTATTTTATGAGACTCCCAACTCTCTTAATATTAAATATTCACACTAAAATATTTTACAATTATAAAAGTATAGCTGACAATGTAGAAAAATAGGCAATATCATATCTATGAGATATTGACATGAGGAGCATTAATACCAATGTGAAAGAAAAAATTAAAAGCAGAAAACACAAACAATATCAGTTTCCCTAAGTCATTAGAATATACTGAAAAATAAAAAATAAACTAAGAAGATGAAATCAACTGATATAATAACAAAAAAAACAGGCTAATGAAATTACAACACATTTCATCATGAGTCAATTGGAAGCCATGTCAACAAAAGGGATCCCTGAAATTTGTCACCCATACAGATGTTATCAGGCATTTTCCGGACACCAGAGGTCAGTTAGTGTGTCCCATGAGGCAAGTTGATGTGGGAATTAGGAGCACATTGATTTCTATGGAGTGAGGAGGGGTGGTTAGACTGGACGGGATTCACACCAGGGGTGCCCCAGGAGCTCCTCACATGCAAGAAGGAGACTGAGCAGGTCTCCCTGTAGGTCCTGGGGGCACTTTTCTCTCTGAAAGAACATGCTGGCCTCTTCACAGCTGCTGTCCCCCAAGTTCTAGGTTCAA